ATATTTCATTAGTTTCCTATTGTATTTTGGATACTCCTTTATTATATATATGACATCCAGGGCTACCAAATTGGTAAGTCTTCCCATAATTCTCACATGGTATCAGAGCTCTAGGGTTTTAATCCAGGACAGCCATAATTCTCACACAATACACTTATAGAGAAATACTCATGTCCATCCGGAGGGACGGGAGCCTCCGTCCAAACTTTGACGTTTGGGGTGGTTCCCGGTAGAATTTTTTGATGAAACTTTTTGAGCATGCTCCACATCAAGTCTAGTTTATTCATACCAAATTTGAGCTCAAAATTCGATCGGGAAGGCAGCCAAATCATTTTTTGAAGTTGACTGCGTTTTTGTATGTATATTTTGGCGCAGTCAACTTCAAAAAATGATTTGACTGCCTTCCCGATCGAATTTTGAGCTGAAATTTGGTATGGATAAACTAGACTTGATGAGGAACATGCTCAACAAATTTCATCAAAAAATTCCACCAGGAACCTCCCCAAACATCAAAGTTCGGACGGAGGCTCCCGTCCCTCCAGATGGACCTGGGCATTTCTCTACACTTATAATTACAAAAATCTAATTTAGTTTTATGCCTAAATTTCAAAGAGGTATGATCTTAAATATTTTGGGTTTGACTTTTTAATAGATAGCATTCCAACTTTTAGTAATGAATGAATTGCCTTATGACCTACTTGAAATGTTTAAGAGGAGTGTATCAAGTAGGGTGGCCAGGCTGGCTATAATACGCTTGATCCAGCTCAGAAAAGTTACTATAGTTGGCAACTTTTAATTCATTTCCAGGAATCTTTTGAAATATAATAATGTTGTTCTCTATCCGTCTTTTGCAACAATCATACGAGTAAAAAATATAGGTACTCGAATAAGATTTCACTTTCTAGTGTTTAAAAAGTAGTCCCTACATATTTTGTAATAGCATTAGCAAATACGGAGTATAGGAAAGCGACAAACTAAGCCATTATAATGGATATAACTAAAAGGATAAAATTTGAATATATTAATAAAGGTGGTCATGGATTAAATCATTAAATACATAATAAAGGAGATCCTGAAAGTCTAAAGTAGGATTAAATTAAACATGAGCAAAGTGAACAATTTAAAGTTTTTATGTTTTTATTCTAAATATAGGAGTCATTTTGTACGGAGTATTAAAAAGGAATAAAAGCAGTACTTCAAACTTCTTGTTAAGAGGTGAATTGAAAGAGCCACATTTTAAGAAGAACGAGTTATATTTAGTATTGTTTAAGACATTTTCTTTAAAGAGATTCTCCATATATTCATTCTAATAAGTTGAGTTCTCATTCTTTAGTTTATGGTTAATTCAGCTCTCTTTTAACATCTTACTTTACTTGTTAAATTTTAATCATATTTACCTTCAATTGTTATATTAGAATAATAATTTTAGTTCATGTACGTAACTTCTAAATATGTAATTCTATTCATTAATACTACGTACTATTTTCAATAAACTTCATTTCATTCTAAAGGAGTGTTTGCGGTTGATTAAAAAAAACATTTTTCAGCTTTTGGCTTTAAAAAAGTTAAAAAGAGTGTTTTCAAATGACAACTTCTGCTTAAATTAATTACTTAAAAGCTAAAAGCTGGAAGCAGGAGGAAGGGTGCTTTAAACTGCTTTTTCACTTTTTCTATTACACAAAAGTACTTATTTTACCAAACACTACCAACTTTTACTTTTTCAGAATCACTTTTTCCTCAAACACTACCAACTTTTACTATTAATCACTTTTCCCAAAATCACTTTAAAAATCACTTTTTTAAAGTTGAAGCAATTGCAAACACTCCCTAAATCAAGCCTATAATGGAACGTTTAAAGATATATACACTACAAGAAAACATAAGTATTGATACGGATTTGACAAAGATCATAACATATTTTTTGCACGGCGTCTTGCCAAATAGCAGGTGACAAAATGGCATTAACACGAATTTAGCATGAATTTGACTTGTTCGTGTCAAATCCTTACCAAAGACCCTCTAAATTTATGCCAAGTCGTGCCAATGATCTATGTCAAATCCGTGTCAAAATTGTTATTTTTTTGTAGTGATACAAATATTTGGAACGAAGTGGAACATAAACGTAAAGTTCCACAGAAATATCATTTTACAGTCCTTTTACTCAGTGGCGGAAGTACATAGGGGCTAGGGGGTGCGCCAGCCCCTGCAGATTTTTTTTTTAATATTATATATATATATATATATATATATATATATATATATATATATATAATTTTAATTTTAAATAACTAGCCCCTGCAGCCCAGAAAATTAAGCCCACCATCAGCCCTGCATCCGACATCCCTCAATCCTTCAACCCAGCCCATAAGCCCTCAACCCCGGTAACTTACTACTCTTCCGCTTAACGCAAAAAAAAAAACAGACCGATTCAAGTACTCAAGCAAAAAGCGAATAGCAGGAGCAGCCGATAAGGAGTGCAGCCATGAACAGCCGAACAGCGGAACAGCAACAGTGACGTCGAGCAGGTCATTCGATTCTTGATGGATAGCTTGGTGTGTTACATTAAGAAAGATATTTTTGTTAAAGTTGAGAATGAAGACATTGTGAGGCGATTTCAGAGTATGGCACCTCGAAGACATAGATTGCCACCTCCCAATTATTCTCCTTCATTTGATGCTTCAGTTGCTAATAAAAATTAAGGTACTATTTCATTACTTGTTTTATTTAAATTTTTGTTTTGTTTATTGCTATATTCGTGAGATATATGATTTCTTTGTTAATGAGCCCCTGCAACTCACGAGTCATGGTTCCGCCACTCCTTTTACTTTATAAAAGATGTTGACTAACATGCAATGGCAGATAAATACGGAGTACATACTACGTTCCGTAAGAGTTAGGTTTAGGGCGAATGATATTATACGAAGTCGTATTCGATACTTCAATCATATTGAACTCGATTGCGTTCGAGTGGGCCAGCAAAAGAAATTCAAATAAACTTTTATAGAAACTTCTATAGAAATCCGTAGAAAAATGCACAGCGGTATGGATTATTGAGTTTTTCCCCAAAATACTGTTGAATAAAAAAATATTTACAAAATTGATTTTGAATTAAAAGTATTTCCCAAAGTAATGTTGGAGTAAATTAGCCACCTGCGCCACATACGGAGTAGAAGAAAGGAAGCCATTCATGGGACCCAACAAAATAAAAAATCCCAATTTTTTGAAAAATGATATAACTTTTTTATTTGCACTCCAATTATTATAAAAAGGGAAAGTTCCCGAAATAGGACTAAAACAATTTGAATATTCCAAAATAGGACTCCCATTTTTTAATTCCCAAAATAGGAGTAATTACTGCCAAGTTTGAAAAATAATGTCATGTTTGAAGTCTGGTATTGTCAAAACATGGAAGTAATTAATAATCATATTTTGGGAATAAAAACATTTCAGTCATATTTTGGAATTTTCACTTTTTTAGTCCTATTTCGGGTAATATTCTCTTATAAAAAATATATCAAAATTTATAATTTTTTATTATCTTTCATATGACATCAATATTGCATATATAAAATTTAAAAATTATTTAACACTTAAAAAAATCTAATTTTTAAAGTGTTATAAAATTTTTATTTGCATTGCGATTGTTTTAAAAAATATATCAGAATTCATAACTTTTTATTATATTTCATATGACACTAATATTTCATAGGTAAAAATAATAAAATATTTTAGCTCATTAAAAATATATGTTTTCAATGTGTTATAACTTTTTCGTTCTCCGATGATCTTTAAAATATATTGATATCCATAACTTCTTAGAGTGTTATACTTTTTTGCCGCTAATATTGCATATATAAAATAAATACATAATTTAACACTTTAAAAAACCTCAATTCTTTAAAGTCCTGTAATTTTTTTATTTGTAGTCTAATTGTTACAAATAATATATCAAAATTCATAACTTTAGGGGTGAACATGAGACGGTACGGGACGGTTATTTCAAAAAGTATGTCCCATCCCAAAGTATAATTATTTTAAAAATCAAAGAACCGGTATTGTCGTCCCAAAGTACGGTTATTTTAAAAATCAAAGAACTGATATTGTCCCGAATATATAGAGAACATGTCCCATTTTGTACAAATTTTCGTACGGGTCGGTATGGTTCTTCAATATTATTTTTTTCGATCGTTTGGTGGTGGTATATTTCGGGGCGATTCTTGGTTCGGTAAATAAAATTCCAGATCCGTACTCAGCTCTACATAACTTTTTCTTTTATTGCATTGCATATGAAAGCAATATTGTATGTTAGAAAGTTTTTTTAACAGATGAGGTTTATTTTTTAAAAAAATTAAAAAATTGAAATTTTTAACTGATAAAGTACAATGGGGTGTTTGGAAAAAAGAGTCAAAGCCAAAAATGGCAATTTTATCCTTTTTAGTGTTTTCACCCAATGCCAAACATGCCTAAGAATATTTTTACTTGGACTGTTTTCAGTTCAGTACCAGACCAGACTTAAAGAGACCAGAGCTGACTTGCCTAGTTATAAAATACATAGAGACCAGACGATTATCAAACCAGACCACCCAACAAACTACAGTCCAAGTAAAAACATCCTAATGCATTAGACATGTTTAACTTTAAATATACAATATCGGTTTCATACAATATCAGAGTAATAAAAAGTTATAAATTTTGATATATTATATGTAACAATTAGAATACAAATGAAAAAATTATACTCTGTAACACTTTAAAAAATTAATATTTTTAAAGTGCTAAATTATATTTTATTTCTATATAAGAAATATTAGTGGCACATGAAAGATATTTAAAAGTTATGAATTTTGATATATATTTCAAGACTATCACAATACAAAAAAGGTATAACACTGAAAAAATAGATTTCTTAAAGTGCTAGATTTTTTTGACCTATGAAATATTAGTCTCATGTGAGATAATAGAAAGTTTTTTTTTTTGGATGAAGATAATAATAGAAAGTTATGAATTTTGATATATTTTTTAAAGCAAGCGAAATATAAATAAAAATTTATAATACTTTTAAAATACAAAAAAAAGGTCATATTATTTTTTGTTTTTTATATATGCAATATTGATGTCATATGAAAGATAATAAAAAATTATGAACTATTATATATTTTTTATAACTATTAGAAATAAAAAAGTTATAGTACATTTTAAAAAAATTGGGATTTTTATTTTATTGGGTCCCGTGCTCTTCTACTACGTATTTGTGAATTGTGATGCGCTTCTCTCGTGCGTTAACTTCCGGTAAGTCGCCAACTCGTATCCCGCTAACTATAGTTTACGAATAATTTTAACTCAACATCAATTACATACATACCTTTTTACTCCATATTAAGCATTATTTAAGGAAAAAGCTCTATATTATTGATGTCAGTTTCATAAAAAATAAATGATTTTATTACACTTGAATAGGTTCGAAATAGTACGCATGTGGACATTGTCTCCTATAAATGATGGTGTTTGACTTGAAACATACTTTCTCCCTTGAAAAGAAATTTTCGGTTCAAATTACAGTCATATTTATATGTGATAAATTTTATTAGGAAAAATTGATTGTAATAATCCTAACTATTGGCGGTCCGCTTATAATAATCCCAACTATCGATTATTTCAGAATAATCCCAACTTTAGGGTCCTTCCGCCAATAACAGTCCCTGTAAATAAATTCATGTCCTTTCTAAAGCGGATGAGAAGAGATATAACAAGTAATCTCTATAAATAATCACAACTTTTAATTTTTACGCTTAATTTCTATTTAAAATTCACTTTTATAGAAGGTAATATTTGGTCATGGACCATTATTGGCGGATGGTCCATATAGTTGGGATTATACAAAAATAATCAATAGTTGGGATTATTGTTAGCGGACCGGCAATAGTTGGGATTATTATTTTTAATATTTCCATTTTATTATGATCTTTTTAATACTCCGTACAAAGTATGTCATTACTTTATGTCCAGTCAAACAAAAAGTAAATAAAAAGGTATGAGAACTTATGAGATCTTTCCATTAATTTTTTTTAATGAAAATGAGACTTCATTTTGTAAGTTGTAACGTCTTAAATGAAAAGGCAATAATTTGAAGGGAGAGTATATATTTTAATTCATGTGACCAATTCATGCTAAAGTGTTTTAAATTGTCTCATTATAATACTTTTCCATTATTATGTATTTGCAATGTACAATTTGATTTACTTGCTTGTTAGTACACAATTTTGATCATTAATTTGCTTTAATTTATTGCTATTAGTAAACAATCAAATTTTACACTGACACAAAGTTTAGAATTTACATTGAGACAAACTTAACACTATTTTTCAATTTTCTAACACATGTTACGGAGTATAATATATGTTCAAATTATAGTATGAGAATGGTGCAAATGTCAAATCATCTCAATTAAAGAATGGAGTAGTATAATTATGAATTCATGTCATCAAAAGTTTCATACTTCGAAGATAGATGAATTTAGTAAGAAAAAAAATATCGTAGGGAATCGCCGTGGCCCTCGTGGGGTATGAACACATGACCTCCCTCATGGCTTCATGTGATTCAAATCTGTTTTTTCTTCCAATTTAAACAAAAAAAGGATGACACTCCATCCCTGAGGGTCCCCCAACACCGACCGGATGGCACGATGAGAGGATGTAAATTGGACTATAATCACAATCTGACAGATAGAGAGTGGGGCTCAATCCCCGGTACTTGCAGAGGCCCTATGCATTTTTCAGCATAGTAACCCCTCATCGCAGTTGCCGGGATTCGAACCCGAGAGCCAACCCTTGTGGCACTCCCTTCCAATTTCTTCTTCAAAGATCTCACCAAACATTTAGAAGCCAGTTGATGTGTTTTTTTCATCATTCCACTCTGAATTGGTAAATTAAATAAAACTGGATATACTTTTTGTTGCAGTTGATGAGCTTGTGTAGCCCCAATAAGCCAAGGTGATGACTTTAAACATTTCCCCCCAGTTTTTCTCATTTTATAAACAAAATACATTTCAAAAACAAATTATTAATGATTCAGCAGCAATTTCAGTGATTTTTTAAATTCAACAATTTTAGCCATTTTAAATATTTCCAAGCTTGCATTAGAAAATCATTTGAGCTTTTACATATTTGTGGAATGGTGAGCCAAATTATCAGAAGCAAATGAAGATTTATGTCCCTTCCATTTTCAAACATGGAAAGGAAGAACCTTATTTGGGATTTGGAAAATCTACTTTAATGAGTTCTACAGTTATTCTGAAAATACATGCTATTAATTAAAAGTAAAAGTTAATGTTTGTAAAAGTACAAAAGTGGGACGTGTATTTTAGAAATTGGAAAACAATTATTCAAAATTCTGGTTTTCTTTTCAAAAGGTGAAAGCTAACACTGTTTTGAAGTTTGAAGTCTAAAAGCCTAAAACGCGTTTTCTTGTGTTAAAAAAAAAAGGAAAACCAAACCAAGAAAAATAAATAAAATAAAAACATTAACAAGATGTTGGAAATAGCAGCGAATTAGGCATGACTAGTTGACTACATGACACAGACCGGGCTCCAACTTCCAGTTTCAATCTGGTTAACAAAAAAAAGGGCGCGAGGCACGGACTGGCCTACTCGTGGACTCGGGTCCGGGTCAGGCCTACTGGCCTAGGCCCGGCCGGACTTTTAATTTTTGGTAGAAGGCCTGGGACCGGCCTGGCTTACCACCGGGTCCGGGTCGGGTCGGGTCAGGTCCGGGTCGGGCCGGGTCCATGTTTTTTTTTTGGGATAAGGGTCAGATAGGGCCTCGAACTCGAAAAAAAAATGTCAAATAAGGTCATATTTCGGATGCTCTGTCTGGCCGACGCCATTTGGGGCGGTTCCCGATGGAATTTTTTGATGGAATTTTTTGAGCATCTTCCTCATTAAGTCTAGTTTACCCATACCAAATTTCAGCTAAAAATTCAACCGGGAAGGTAGTCAAATAATTTTCCGAAATGTACGGCGTTGTTTAACTTCACAGTTATCTTCAAAAACTCATTTGACTACCTTCCCGGTTGAGTTTTTAGCTGAAATTTGGTATGGGTAAACTAGACTTAATGAGGAAGATGCTCAAAAAATTTTATCAAAAAATTCCATCGGGAACCGCCCCAAATGGCGTCGGCCAGACAGAGCATCCGAAATATGACCTTATTTGACATTTTTTTTCAATTCGAGGCCCTATCTGACCCTTATCCCTTTTTTTTTCTTTTCTTATTAACCCCGACCCCCCTACCCCCTACCCCCACCCCCAAACCCCCCAAAACACCCAGCCCAACTCAGGGAAAAGCCCAAAACAATGAAAAAACCCAAAAAAAAAATAGAAGGCCCGAACCGGGCCCGGGCCCGCCCGGCCCGGTTCCAAAGAATGGGGTGAATCGGGACCGCCCCACCCTAACCCCCGGGACCGGGCCTAGGCCCGGAACCAAACCCGGTACACCGGGCCGGGCCCGCACAGTAGCGGGCCGGACCGGTTCCCGGGTCGGGCGGCCCGAACCGGGTCCAACACTAGACTGGCCTAGTGGTATGTTCTGATTCTTTCTTTTCTTTTAACAGCTTTGAAGTTACAAGTTTAACTAGCAAGAACGGCATAGAACATAGGAGCTGCCCATTCTTACCTGACTCGAGCCGAACGGCCCAAACCAACTACAACCGGGTCCGATTAGGTTCAATATATTTGAGGACCGGAACGGGACCAAGCCATAAAGATTAGCTGAAGAGATTAGCTAATGTGCATAAGGGGAAAAAGAGAAAAGTGTTCTAATGATTAGCTAAAAGGGAAACATAATATAAAGGGAACAAACACAAAAAAGTGAAAAACAAACTATAAAGGGAAACACTCACAGCTATGAAAACCTAATGATAGCAGTCTTCCAGGATGCATACTTTGTCTGAACGAATATTTGGCTTAAAAAACTTCAGCCATTTTGCTTGCTAGAACGCGATCTCGTCTCTCCACTTACCCAACAGGGAACCAACCGGCTCTCCCTTTGCATTCACCTTCAGCCCAGCCATTGTTCCGCACCTTTTGGTGGATATCAAAACACCAGTGTCAAATGGAACCCAGAATTAGTACTATCTCGTCCCATTTTATGCGTCTCATTTTAATAAAGTGGTTGAAAAGGTAAAAGTTGTGGTTGAGATTTGAGTATGATAAAGCTAGTGAAATGTTGTGAACCACATATTTCTTTCCAAAAAGGGAAAGATGACACTTATTTTGAAACAATTTAAAAAGGAAAGTAAGACAGGTAAAATGGTACAGATGGAGTATGATTTAAGAACAAATGATCATTTCCTTGTGTATGTGTGCGCACACGTGCATGATTTAAGCACACATGATTTATGCACACTGGTAATTTGATATCCACTAAAAGTAAAGGATAATGTGAGATGTCATTGTTAAACTGAAACTATAAAGTAAGCTTTTGTGAAAATTGCACTGTTAGCCCCTCAAATAGTACCGATATTGAAATGTAAGACCCCAGTTCAGTAAATGTCACTTCTCAATTGTTCAAATTGTTGTAAATGTGCTCGTTTGAGGGGTGAAATATACAATAAGGACGAGGTCTACATTTACACCAATTCAAACAATTGAAGGATGACATTTACATACTTCGGAACACGAGGAATACATTTCAATGTTGGTACCATCTGAGGTACTAAAAGTGCGATTTTGCCTAAACTTTATAATACAAAATGAACATCTAAGAAAAAACATAGAACTTCTAATACAGTTCAAATTTTAGGTTATGCTATTCGTAAGATTATATGTGGGATAATAAATTTGGTGAAAAAATATGAAAATCCAAAACAAGTGATAGGTGAAAAAAGTATGAAAACTTTTTATTTCGCAGTTTTTAGTATAAAAGTAGTTTTAAACAGATCAGAATCTCTTCGTTCGGCTCCAAGGTACGTTCAAATTTGACATGAACGTTACTCAAGGAACGTATCTGAGAAATCTCGTGAGCAAGTTTCTTGCTCCTAATAATAGAATAGAGGGTGGAAAAGACAACAGAATGAGAGAGAAAATAGAGGAAGATAGAGAAATGCGGGAAGAAAAGGAGAAATATTCAGGCCCTAGGAGAAAAGACTGATTAGTTTTTGTTGGTTCTTTGCTAAGAACTAGAAAACTAACTTGACTAATACAGAACAATCACGAAATCACACATACTACGTACAACATATCCTAATATGTTACAATAACATATAAACCTTATTCCCAAAACATTAACTGACACATTATATCAGAGTTAAAAACATTAGATAGAGAAAGGACAAAAAACAATAAAAGATCAATCTTCCACACATATACGTAGTATGTTTTTCCTCCATTTCGCCCTCTCCAAAGTCATACCTCATTCTAACCCAAATAATATCATATCATTCTAGACCACTCTAATCCTACACGTCTTATTCAGGGGCGGCCCTGGGGGGGGGGGGGGGGGGGGGGCAGGTGGGGCGGTGGCCCTAGGCCCAAAAAAAATGAAAAAAAGTTAGGCCCAAGATTATTTCTTTATAGTATGTTTGAGTAGGCTGAGTTTTAACCCAAAATTAATAATTTTTTATAGTATAAGCAGCCCAAAAAAGAGAAAGGCCCAAACTGAAAAAAAGCGGAGTACCTAATGAACTAATGCGCAGCCCCTGGTTACGTACTTGCTTTCCCATTTTCATCCCAACTCCCAAGCCTCATCTGAAACTCACGCGTCACGCAGACGGGCAGACACGCAATCACGCACCGACACACGAGTGATTTAGTCCACTACGGACGACGGTCGACGCACTCCGGCCTTCGGCTTGACGGCTTCGGCCGTTCGGCGGGTCAGGCCTTCAGCGACGCTAGACCGCCCCTGCCCCCTGTTCGGCGTCCACAATGTTAGCGTGTAAATTATTGTTGTTATTCATGTACAAATATTTACGTAGCAGCACATCAATGCATGGCTCTTCCGTTGCTACTCCTGCGGCTACGAAGTATTCTTATCTTGTTAGTTTAGCCTTTGTCATTGTATCTAGATAGGTTAATGACTTATACGATTAGCATAGCCAGCACATATATAGCTAAATCTGTTAGTAATGTATATCTCGAGAGTGCTATTTAAAAGGCCTCGGAACCTACGAATGAGATCAAGAAAATTCTCCCAAATACTCTTCTACAATTTCTAACTTGGTATCAGACTTCGATCCTCTTTTCTCCATGGCTTCCTTTCATCCCGCTCTTGCGGTCACTAATATCCGCAATCTAATCCCTATTACACTAGATCTTGAAAATGTTCAGTACTCCACTTGGGCTGAGCTTTTTAAGATTACTGCCAGAGCTTACCAGGTCATTGACCACATTCTTCCCAATGAGCAGCCCACCTCTTCTGCTTCCACATCCATTGATGTCGCCGATGCTGTCGGCAATCAAGCTCTCTTGACTCGACTTGATGCTCTCGTCTTGCAATGGATCTATGCCACCATTTCCAACGACCTTCTCCACACGATCATTGAACCCAATTCTACGGCTCAGGCCGCTTGGGAGCGGCTCGCTGACATCTTTCTGGATAACAAACACTCCAGAGCAGTTCATCTTGAGAATCAATTCTCAAATACCCGCCTGGATCAATTTTCCTCTGTTGCTGCGTATTGTCGCGCCCTCAAAGGTCTCTCGGACGCTCTAGCCAACGTTGATGCTCCCCTTGACGATCGCAGGCTGGTACTGCGTCTTGTGGCCGGGCTGACCGATCAATATGACATTGTCGCTGCATTTATCCAACAACAGAACCCTCTTCCACCCTTCTACAAAGCCTGCTCCATGCTGGCCCTTGAAGAAGCACGACGGGCTCGTCAGTCTCCTTCCTCTGCTGCTCTCGTTGCATCTCACCCCCCGGATCCACCGGCGCCTGCTCCTGCCAACAATCGCAACCGTGGCGGTGGATGCTCTGGGCGCAATCGTGGTCGTGGTCGTGGCCGCTCCACTGATGTCACCTCATCCCACCGTCCTCAGATTTCTACTCCATGGTTTGCCCCACCTTGGGCTCCTTGGATGTCCTGGAAAACACCGTCGTGCCCCTATCCTACTGCCTCCGGACAATCACAGCCACCCCGGTCCCCAGCCCCGGGCATTCTTGGACCACGGCCTCATCAAGCCTATCCTATGCAGACGGTTACCCAGGCAGACAACTACTTTCCTACTGCTCTCAATTCTGCCATGCAAACACTTTCTCTCACTCCGCCGGATGATGGATGGTTTATGGATACTGGCGCTACGTCGCACATGACAGCAGATGCAGGTACTCTCTCGTCTGTTATTAATACGAGCTCTAAACACAAAATTATGGTTGGTAATGGCCAGTTTGTTCCCATCTTAGGGAAAGGTCGTGCTACTCTTTCACCACCCTTGCCCCCCTTTCAATTATCTTCTGTCTTACATGTTCCCAATATTGTCAAAATTTTAATTTCCGTCCGCCAATTTACTACTGATAATTCTGTTTCTGTGGAATTTGACCCATTTGGATTTTGTGTGAAGGATCTTCAAACAGGCCATCCTCTGTTGAGGTGTGATAGTCAAGGCAGCTTATACCCGTTGCGTGTGTCCTCCCGAGTCTCTTCTCTACCTCAAGCTCACACTGCCATCTCGCCCACACTTTGGCATAACCGACTTGGACACCCGGGCTCAGCCATTTTACATTCTCTTCATAGCAATTAGTTTATCTCTTGTAATAAAAAGTGTCAAGGACTTTGTCACTCTTGTCAATTAGGAAAACAAATAAAATTGCCATTT